AGCGACAAGCATACCCCATGATGAATGCAGCAGACGGCACTGTCCTCGACAGTTCCACGAGCAAGGCCGACGCAGCCACACGACACTTCGGACACAACGAAGCAGCCGACATCATCTCCGCTCAGGACGTGGTTGACAGATACAACGCCAAAGAGGACAGGACCGAACCAGCTCAGCCCAGGAGAACGCGCCACGTCAACAACTTCGCCAGCATCTACGAGCTCACAGACATCCTTCACAAAGCGAGACCTCACCGCGCACCAGGACCAGATCGGGTATCCGACGACTTCTCCAAGATCGCCCCACGGCAGATGGCCCGACACATGCATCCGATCATCACCAAAGCAGCGCTCTTCTGCAGGGAGGGCGTAGCTCTAAAGGGGTCCAGGATGACGTACTTCTGGAAGGGCAAGGGCAGCGAGGAGGACCTGAACAACCAGCGGTCAATCACGTTGGCCAACACCGTCATCAAGCACCACTACAGATACATCAGACAATGCATGAAGGACCTAATCCCCACGATGCTCTTCTCCACTCAGACGGGAGGCCGACACCACTACAGCACGGACATCAACCACATGACGATGCGGCTCCTATCCAATACTGCCTACCACGCGAAGCACGACATGGTCATCATCATGATAGACTTGAAAGCAGCCTTCCACAAGGTAGTCAACCAGCTCGTGTACAACTTCACCCAGACCAAGGAGCAGCTGGACGACCTTCTCGCCCACATCGACATTCCCCATGTCATGCTTCCCGCGATTGAGGCCCTCATGACCGACAACGGCATCGTCAACCAACACGTGGACAACCAACACATTGTCGACATGCTCACGGAGGCACACACTGGGACTTGGTTCTACATCGACGACCAGTGCAGCTACGCAGCACCACGACTTGGTACACGCCCTGGCGTACCAACAGCCGACTTCACATTCAACATGCTCATGGCGGACGTCACGCGAGACTACCACGACCACGCCGTCGAGGATGGAGCGACTTTCGACATACCGCATGCCCCACCACGTCTCCGAGCTTGCGACCACAACGCCACACTGTCCTCTACATCCTTCGTAGACGACGTCAAGGCGGCTGCATCCACGGCAGACGGCACCATGATACACGCACTCATCTCCAAGATGTGGGGACACCTCATACGCGCGACACTGCGAAGAGGCCTCCCGATCAACACCAAGAAGTCCAGCTTCATCGTCTACCCCAACACCGTCGCAGGCAAAAGAGCTACACGGACCATGATACGGGACAATCACAGCATCACCGACATGGGGCTCTGCGTCACCATCGCTAGAAGCACCAAGCTGCTGGGCGCGATGTTCAACGACAGGAACGACATGGGCCAGGAGACGGCAGCACGCACCATCGCGCTACGCGAGACAACAGGCCCACTCCGACGCACCTTGTTCCAACGACAAGCCATCTCCATCCAGACTAAGATCCACTACCTCGAGTCCTTCGGCTATTCAAGACTGCTATTTAACGCGGGGACATGGATCATCACAACAGCGCGGGACTACCACAGGATCAACACAGCCTACGTCACTGCGGCACGACAGGCAATAGGAATTACACACAAGGCCATGAAGGACAAACACATCACCAACGAGCAGATATTGGCACGTGCCCAACTACCGAACCTCGAAGACCGACTACGATGGCTACGACTGCGAGAACTTCTGCGACTCATAAAAGGATGCCCGTACGAAACGCAGGCACTCATTGACTACGACATCGAAGTCAACGGCACCTGGACGCAAACCATCAACAACGACATCCACACATGCCGACAGCACTGCGACGGCACCCGCATCACCACCGCACCCAAGGACATCATCGACTTCATCAAGGCTGCACGCAACGACATGCAAACGGTCAAGTCTTTTATTACGAGCACCTACAAGCGTGCACAAGACTCATCCTCCGACCGAGCAGCGCAGGACCAGCTGCGCGCAGACCTATCGCTAACGGCAACAGCACTGGGAGTGCTGCCACTACCCCGACAAGCAGGAACCACGACACCAGCACCAGCCAGAGTTATGTGTTACCATTGCGGTGCTACATTCAAGACCAAAGCAGCACACAACAAGCATGTCTACGCCGTCCACCAGGACAAGCACACCATAGACAACTACATCGTCGGTGACACCTGCCAGGTATGCTTGAAGTACTTCTACACCGCGAACAGACTTACCAAACACGTCAAATCGTCACGCCAGTGTGCAGCCACACTGATGCAGATCGGAGCGAAGCCGCCAACAGAAGACATCGACGCGCACAAGGAGGAGACCCGACGCGTACGACGATCCAACCGACACGCTGGGCTTCCAGAAGACTACGCCGAGCGGCCACCCATCCAGCTACAGGGGCCATCACTGGGACCACCAACCCACGCCGACCACGACCACCGACCAATACCAGCCCAACTACCCACCGACGCACCCACCACACAAGACAGCGGACCCAACCGAGCAGACACGGGAATGACTGACATCACAGGAAAGCCCAGCATTGTACTGCTCTTCACCACCAACCACGACCACACCAGCGCGGTGACCGACGCCCTCCAAGCCACCGCAGACAGACACAGCATCTCCATCGAACTCCACCACCTGCCAACCATGCACCCACCCCAAACCGACCCAACGGCTTCCGACATGGCCACGACACCATACGACCACGCTGCCTTCTGCATCATCGACGCCGACCTTACGACCTTCAACCGCGACCTCAACCTCAGGACGCAAGAGGCACCTTGGGGACGACTGGACCTCACACCCACGCAGCACAAAGCGGTACGACAAGACAACGACAGCATGCGGCACGTCCTACGGACCGCACAGCGGATGATGACGATGCGCACACCTACCATCATCCTGGACAGCAGCCTCCGACACCTGCAGATACAGGAATATGCATACATCACAACGACGTGCAGCACAACCCCGACCACAGCATTCACTGCTTGCAACTGTCCTGCAGACATCACTACGACAACGACACTGACGCAGGCCATAGAGCAAACACTCCAGCCCACCGCCGACGCATACACAAAGGCACAGACGTGGCACTATAATGGATATGATGGCAACGATTGCTGGATGTCAGAACGTCCAGGCGCGGTGCTCCTCGAGCCGCGACCTGGACAGTACGGTGGCCAACTGTCGGCGGAGGAGATCCAGAAGGAGCTGTCGTCTATTATGGCACATACACAGTTTGCAGGATACCCTCCCAAGAGGCCTCCACCAGAGACCGCACCTCCCAGGCTGGCATCTTCGACTTCAGCATTACCTCCAGCGGCACCAACAGGAAGTATTGCATGTTCTTCAACACCCGTCGGCACGCACTGCTCACCTCCCCAGCCCACGGGGCGCTTGGGAGGTCGGCATAGTCCACCTCCCCAGCCCATGGGGCGCTTGGGAGGCAGAGGGTACCGACCGACGGGGGTCATTGAGGCTACTGGGACGGAAGTCGGTGGTGGGGCATCACTCCTGGAGACAGCGCAGCACCAGCCACGCCAGAATCACGAAGGCGTTGAGCAACTTCGTCAAGCTGGACTCCTCGAGCCGCGACCTGGACCTGGACCACCGACCCCACATGGCCAGGAGACATCCTCACAGCCCGTAACAGGGGCACATGATCGACGGCGGCAGCGACCACCACGCGATCGCCCCGAACCATCAATTGTCCGGGCCCTACATCATCACGAAGGCCCCCTCGCGGAGCGAGGGGGATGAGATGAACACCTACCAGTGACTACAGGCCCGGGCGGCCCGCCGCTTTCTGGAGGCCTCAGAAGACTTCTAGTTCAGCGTGCCCGTTGGGGGTCCCGTCTTTCTCCCTTGAGGATCCCTGTGGCTCTTGAGGCCCCTCCCCCCTCTCACTGTCGGGTGCTCCCCCTCGGGCCCTGCCCCTTGCTCTCCGCCTTCCCCCGACCAGGGGGAACGGAGCCGCTTACACTACCGAGACTGGTGTCTCAGCGACGCCCCTCCACCAGCCTCCGTCACCCAAAGAGTCGCAACGCGCCGACATGTGGTACGCGACCGTCGGTTGGGTGACGGATGCTGGAACGGAGACGGGCCCTGGGCGATCCACAAGTGATCGCTTAATCTGGCCTGGCCTCCCCCCCCTCTCCTGGTCCAGGCGGCCCTTCTCCCGTGCCCCTGGTGGCCCTCGCCTTCGCTCTGTCCCCGCGCCTTCCCGTTGGCCTTCGGACCCTTGGGCTCTCGGGGCTCCCGCATTCCTTCTCTCCGAGGCCACTTTAGGCGTCTCTCTCTCTCCTGGTTGCGGGTGGCCTTGGGTTCCAGAGGCAATTTGAGGCCCCCTCCCGAGGCTCTCCGAGGAAGGGGGCCGTGCGTCGCGCCGCGCGCGGCGGCGCGGCTCGGGCTGCGGCGGACAGACCGCCTTGCCTGCAGTGTTCGAGTAGGAGGGCGATGATGATGATGATGATGATGATGATGATGATGATGATGATGATGATGATGATGATGATGATGATGATGATGATGATGATGATGATGATGATGATGATGATGTGATGATGATGATGATGATGATGTGATGATGATTGTGGATGATGAGGAGGAGGAGGAGGAGGAGGAGGGAGGAGGAGGAGGAGGAGAAGGAGGATGAGGGAGGAGCAGGATGAGGAGGAGGAGGGAGGAGGAGGAGGAGGAGGAGGTGGAGGAGGAGGAGGAGGAGGAGCAGGGGGTCGCCCGTCCTGTCCGTTCTCGTCCTCGCCCTCCTGTCTCCCTTCTCTTTCCCCTCACTCTCGTCATTCTTCGAGGATCGAGATTCCTGGGCGCTGTGGGCCATTTTTGGATCCCCTTCAGTTCGCCTCGTTGTCATTCAGTGTCGCTAGGCTCTCGGAGGCGGGCTTTCCAACCCACACTTCTCCTCGGAGCTGGAGTCGGAATCGGACAGAGGAAGGAAAACGGAGAAGAGAGCCCCCCGCCCCCCCCCTGGACGCCCAGCCTCAGGAGGAGGACGAGGAGTGCTGGGACGACGCCGCCTGGAGGGATTCCGACGGCGACGGCTGCCAGGCGCGCGACTTGAGAAAACGTCGTTCTGTGGTCGCCGCCGCGGCCGCCGCCGCCGCCGTCGCCGCCGCCGCCGCTGTCTCCGCCGTCGCCGTCGCTGTCGCCGCCGTCGCCGTCGTGGCTGTCGTCGTCGCCAGCGGACGTCGCTGTCGTGGTGGTCGCCGTCGCTGTCGCGCCGCGCGGTGGGGCCCTGCGCCCGCGCGGGGCCGCCGCGCCCTGACCCCCGGGGGAGTTCGGGTCTCGCCTCGGCGGCGCGTCCAGAGGCGCTGCCACTCTCGGGGAGGGCCGGGGAGGTCTGCGCCGTTGCCGGGCTTCCGGGGCCCTCCACGGGTCCTGAGGTTTTTTCCCCGTGCTTCGGGGCCGGCCGGAGACGGCTCAGGATGAACGGGTGGTCCTGGGGCCCCGGGGCCCAGGACCCGCTTCCCTCAGGACCCGTCTGCCCCATGCTAAGGGCTGTCGGGGGCGGCCAAGAGGGGGGTGAGATGACTACTTGGGGGTGGGGGGGATGTCATGGCGGGGGCCATTTGCTACACTCATGGGGGGGATGTCATGGCGGAGGTCATGGGGGGGATGTCATGGCTGGCGGGGATATCTCACCATGCTTCGTGGAGCATCTTCTTATTTCAGTACGTCCTCGGCCCCCCTTTGGGCCGCGCGCATGCCGCTGGCCATTTGCGCCCCCCCCCTCTTGGACGCCCCCGAAGTCTCGAGAGAGACCAGAAGCCTCGGCCTCGCGCCAGAGGCTTCTGGTCCCTCGCGGGTTTCAGGTCGCCCGCCTCCGAGCGGCGCAGAGAGGCTGACTGCGCTTCCTTCGCCCTTGTGTGTGGGTCACAAGTCTTGGCGGCGAGCGGGGGGGGGGAGTGAGAAGGGGCAGGCCTTCTCAAGGCGGCGGGGCTTCTCCCAAACCCCCTGACCCTCCGAGAGGGTCTCCGTGCCTTCGGGGGAGGCTCCGGCTTCTCAGGGGGCCCGAGGCCTTCCGAGCCTTCCGAGAAGGCCCGCCCCGTCCCACTTCCTCCTCTGGCGCGCCGCCGACTCCCGGGAGGGGCCACGACGGGAGCTCGGGGGTTTCGAGGTTCGAGGTTTTCGGGCGAGCTTCGTCGGTTCCCGGCGGCCTTCCAGCCTCGGGATGCTCTCCAGCAGCTGCGCCTCGTCGAGAGCTTTCCAGGGGGTGCCCGAGTTGCTCCGACCTGACAGCCAGACGCCGAGGATCCCTGGGACGGAATAGAGCAGCCTTGCGTAGGGGGGAAGCAGCGGCCCCTAACACCCGAACGCGATATCGAACGGGAGCGCCGACGAATTACCCCATCACCCGCATTGTTTGGTTGAAGCTGAGCAAAGAGCTCCTCCTTCACCTCCTCCTCCTCCTCCTCTTCCTCCTCTTCCTCCTCCTCCTCCTCCCTTCCCTCCCTTCCCTCCTCCTCCTCCTCCATCTCCTCCACCTCGTCCTCCTCCTCCTCCTCCTCCTCCTCCTGCTCCTAGGGAGAGTGTGCACGGTACTGGATAGCTTGGGAGGGCATCTTGGGCGCACGCGGCAGCGGGCGAGCGACCCCCATTGATCGCCGATACGGGCCCGATTTCCCACCTCGCCCCAGAAGACGCGGTTTCGCTGGCCCATCGCTGATACATCGGCCATTTACCTCCGATTCCAGCTCGATGTTTCCCTCCCGAGCCAGGCCTCCGCTATCGTTCCCCCTCATCTCCACCTCCTGGAGATCCCTGGAGTTCTCTGGACGCCTCCGGGGGCCCACGAGGGTCTCTTCAGAAAGGCCCATCTGTCGAGGACAGATGGCTCTCAGAGCGTTCCCGGAACGGTCGCAGAGCGTGCCGGGACGCTTTGGGACCGCCTCGTCGTTCGATGCCTCCTCCAGACCCGC